TTAGATTTAGTTAAGGTGAATATTTATCACTTTCGTACTGCTTTTGGGTACATTTAAAACGTTTCTTCAAGTCGCTAAATATATTAAATTAAAAATGCAACAGAATATGGAGATATTATTTTGAGATAAAATGTCCAAGGTCAATGCTCACATTGTACACAGACAGTACAAATAACAAAATGTTTGAGCATTTAATGCATACAAATTCCATACTGGATTCTGTAAAATATATGTTCTAACATCAAAGGAGTGTAGTTCCATATAGTCAAGTTTGTATGCTTAATTTGTCATAAATGTAATTTTTGTGTTCTTTGTGATCATTTTCATCAGAGATATACATATCCCATTGAGTTCATATTTATTTTCATTTTTTGTAATGTTTCTAATTTCTTTCTATATTTTATTTCTGTACTTTCCTGTAGCTCCTTTATCAGCATTGTTGGAGTACAACTGGGACATATTAATTTTACATACTGAAAACTGTACAACATAAAGTTTAGACACATGCACCCCCACACAAATGTCAAATAATGATATACCACACTCAGTGGAGCTCCCAATTCACTACCTCACATAGTTACTATATTTTGTGTTTGTATGAGTCAACTAGTTTAACAAATACGAAGCATATGACACATCAAAAACAATAGGTCATCAGAATGAATTCTTCCTGTTGTAACTGCAATTGAAATGTTTATACCCTTTGTTCAATTGATCCATAGCCCCATCACACACACACACACACACACACACACACACACACACACACACAATTGTTACATATACATACATTTATAAGCATACACACACACACACACACACACACACAGATATGCAGTTTCTTGCAACTACTGCTAGGTCATATTTAGGTTTGTCTTGTTTTCGAATCTTTAGAACTGTTCTGCTTTTTGTAGTGGTTAGATTGGAGTACATCAACACAAGAAATATATAACTGTAGTTCATTATTTTCTCAATGATAGTCAAATAGTCATTATCACTTGGGTAATATTAAATTCCAAATCCATTTTTATTTTTATTTTCATGATGCTTAAGGATGTTGAATGGTTTTCCTATTTTAATGATTAAAATAATGCATTATTGAGAAAATGGTATATTGAATTTTTATTTTAGAATGGTAAATAACAATTAAAACCACTGTTATGAGTTTTTCAGGTAGCCCATCTCATTTTACTGCTTACTGAGTGAATTATTTTTCTTGGCATTTGGGTTTGGGTTCTTTTTATTTAATGATTGATTGCTTATTGATTGAACTGAGCTGCATCATTTAGCTTAAGTACTTTATATACACTAGGTATTAATCCACTGTTAAATGCTTCACTAGCACATTTTTCTCCATTTCTGTAGGCTGCATCTACACATAATTTTGTTCTATTGTTTCATTGAAGCTTTTTAACTTTACATAATCATATATGTCAATTCTGTTTTAATTCCTGTTATTGTCATAGTTTTCAGAAAGTCCTTGCCTTCCTTTTGTTTCTCTGTTGCTGTAATAAAACACTGAGCAAAAGCCACTTGGGGAAGAAGGGATTTAACTGGCCTGCAGGTTATAGTCTATCAAAGGAGGTCAAGGCAGAAACCTGGAGGCAGGTACTGAAGCAACCACCATGGTAGAAGATGCTTAATGCCTTATTTTCCTTTGCTTGCTCAGCCACATTTTTATACATATCAGGCCCATGTGCCTAGGGAAGACACTAGCCAGAGTGAGAGGAGTCCACCTACATTGATCAGCAACTAAGACAATGCCTCACAAACATGACCATGGGCCAATCTGATGTGGGAAATGTCTCACGTATGTTTCCTCTTCCTGTGTTACCCAAGTTTGAGTTAAGTTCACAGCCAGCATGCTGTGTGTGCCTATGTCTTGAAGTGTGTTTCTTATGTTAGCCTTTTAAGTTTTTCAGAGTTTAGGAATTACATTATTATTCATTCTGAATTGATTTTTGTATAAGCGAGAGACAAGGATATATTTTCATTCTTCTAAATATGGGCATTCACTTTTTGTAGCACAGTGTGCTGAAGACACTGTCTTTTTCCTAGTATACATTGCTGTTAATTTGAAAAGATAAGTAGGTGGATGTAACTGTACACACTGTTGATCTATGTGCATATTTTTGAACTGGGGCCACCATGATGGACTTCTAACTGTGGATCTGTAAAATAACTTGAAATCACCCCAATCTTATCCAAAGGAATATAGACAACTGATTACCGCTAGATGAGGAACAGCTGACCTTCCTAAAACAAAGACCTCTAGAGAGGCTGACTAGATTCACCAGAAGGGCAAGTAGTGGGGAATGGTTGGGGGTGCCGACAACAGAGCAGACAGTAGCAGGGACATTAGACTATAAGGGCTCTAGTGGGAGGAGGGAACCTATGGGAGGGAGCTACCTGGGAAGTGGGTGTATAAATAAATAAAAAAAAGAAAAGAAAAAAATTCTTCAAAGCATAAAAATTTGCTCCTTAATAATTAGCAGATGTGAAAAACATTACCATTGAAATCTACCTGATGACATTAAATCCATGCTCAGATGCTGAGGAGCTCAGAAAGCAACCGACTGTGACTAGTAATAACCAGATATACAGATATTAGAAACACATGTGCAACTTAGTGTCATTTGTATTAAAAATGAATTTTGCTGTATGACACTGTATTTAAATAATGAAATGGAGATCTTTTTTAAAGTTTAAAACCTCATTTCATTTTATGTCTTATAGGGTTTATATGGAGTACAATATTGTATAAGTGTATCAATTCAACTTTAAACCTAAAAATTTACAGGCAATTTTGAAAGAGATACATCTTAGCTTTGGAAATTGTTATTGAATATGTCAATGCTGTTGTAATGAAATGCTTCTTCTAATTATATGGTTATTAAATAAATAATTTTTTAAAAAGACATAAAAAATAACTTGAAATCAGGCACAGTGGTAGTAGTTTCAACACTGGTCTCCTTATACAGGATTACTTTGGCTATTGAGTGTCTTTTGTGTTTCCATGTGGATTTTATTATTTTTCTCATATGTCTGTGAAGAACGGCATTGAAAATGTGATATGGATTGAATTAAATATATAATGCTATCAGCAAATAGTTACTTGTGCATGCCAAGTAAGCACTCTACCACTAAGCTACATGCCCCATCCCTCAGAAGTAACTTTTAAAAAATGTATACAACTCTAGAAGTTATTTGTATAATGTTGTATTACTATTTGCCACTGAATTGCATTTTAATTCAAGATGTCAATTACTTGTGTCCTTTTTAATGTATATTTTATTGAATTTTTGTGCATTTCATACATCTTACTCATATTTAGACCCCTCCCCTATCTATACCTCCATAGCCCGCCCACAGGATTTCATGCAGTCTTTCATACATGTTAAGTCCAAATGCTACATGGTGTAAGTTCATCCAGTGGAAGCCTGTTCAGGCTATCTAGCATCACTGCCTTAAACAAGATCAACTCTCCCTCACCCAGAAGTGACCACCTTCCAATAGCTCTTTATCTAAGGTTGGGGCATCCTGCCTATTTTCCAAATTCTATGCTGGGTTTTTATCTAACTGAATTTTCATGGTTCTTGTGCATGCTACCACCATTGCTGTAAGTTCATATTAGTAAGTTCCCAGACGCTTGGAAGACTCTTGTTCCTTTATCGTCATGTACCACTCCTGGTTCTTACTATCTTTTCCTCTTCTGCAGTCATCCTAGAGCAGGTGAGTGAGGTTTAATGTAGGAGTCCTGTCAAGAGATAAGCATTCTGCAGTCTCTTATTTTCTACGTTTTGCCCAGTAGTGGCTTTCTGTGTTCATTGTACTCTGTTGCTTGAGGAACGCTTGCTGCTGAGAATTAGTATTCTCTCTGCCCTCTGTTCCACCACCTTCCATATGCCTTACATATAGAGTTTCGATCGTAGGTGTCTCAAATAAGGCTGAGCAACTCACAGACACTTATTCTCTCTGTGACCAGTTGTGGAGCTCTGTAATAGTCACCGTCTGTCACAAAAAGTAGCTTCTTTGATGACTGAGACTGGTATCCTTGCCTGTAAATATAAGGATCCATATTTGGCATATAATAAGAAATTATGTTTTTTCTAGGAGTGTGACAGACCTAGGGTTTTCTGCAGGATCTATGAAGCAATGATTTAGGATCTGATTTTTGTTGATGTTATGATAAAATAACAGTAACATTTTAGTAATTAAAATGATCATTGTGTACTTAAATCCTTTCAAAAATACTTAAAACTGCACTCAATATTTAAAATATAGAATATTCAGTTTGTTTATGGTTCTAAATCCTGGACAATGATATTTACGGAAGTAGAAATTTTCTGTATTTGTACAAACAGGGCATGAAGAGTCAAAATCAAAGCAACTACACAAATACAACCTCACCTTACTGAACCAGTGTATGTGCTCCTTATCCTTCGACTTATTCATTGACTTTGTTTTGATAATTTAATTTTCCTTTTTGCTATTATGAACTGATATCAGCTCCTTTACAGAATATGATTGTAAATAAGCATTAATTGTGTAAGTGAAGTCACAATATTTCTATGGTATTGTGTACACACTTTATTGAACATATTATTCATAAAATGGTAACCAATATTTTTCAGGTATTTCTTTTCTCCTGTGTTTTCCAGTCAAACCTTAAATTTCCTTACATATATTTCAACTTCACATGCTATGTAAAGGAAGTAAATTGGAATTGTCCTAACACTCGATTAATTAAATTTTATTCAATATAAATGAAAATTCATCTAGTTTCTCTATTGCTTACTATTGTAGAAATAATCAAATATTTTATATCCCAGTATAAAAATATTATTATATATTGTATATTTATATCAGCCTACATTTGATTAAGCTCCCAAATCTAATGTTCTTTTGACTATGTAGTTGAAATACTTGTTACTGTTTGCTTGTAAGAGTGTCATTTTATGGCAATGATTGTAAGTTAATTATTATAAAATATTTTACAGAACACTATCAGCTCTATGTTCCTGAGTCAGCGCAAGTTGGTTCAGCTGTTGGGAAAATTAAGGCAAATGATGCAGACACCGGCCCAAATGCTGACATGACTTACTCCATCACTAATGGTGACGGGACTGGGATATTCTCTATCTCCACTGACAAAGATACCAGAGAAGGAATACTTTCCTTAAAGAAGGTAAAAAAAAGAAACATCCTGAATTACATAACTCACCAGTATTTCTAGGAATGGAAATTTGGCAGAAACATGAAGAGCCCATATTTTGTTGTTTCTAAAATCATATAGAAAAGGTATTTATGGGCATAAGGTTTTTCCTTTCATTTGTGAAGAACCGCCACTAAAGACCTTCTCCATTGCATCCTTTTAACTCAGTGACTCTCCTCATGTATCACTTGGATCTTTTCCCTAGTGAGCTTTTATGCTTTTGCATGAAAACACTGTCCGTTCTCCAACCAGGAAACAAATCTTTATTTCCTCCTGCTGTTGCGTATGTCGTTCATAACCTTTCTCTCCCATATTGCTATAAGGCTTACTAAAGTTTTTTAAGGTTTTCACTTTGATATTCAATTCAATTTTAATTTTTGTTATATTTGAATTTTTGATCTTCAGTCAGGTAATTTATGTATTTATGGTGGGAATATCTGATTAAGAACTCACAATGAATATGTATATATTAATTTTTGTTCAGGTTTTATGTGTGTCCAAAAGTCCTTGATATGCCCCAATTGTGCCAATTAAAAATTAAATGCAATGTATTTCAACTAAATTAAAAGAGACAAAATGTCATCAAAATAAGGTGTGGCATTTTCTATAATAATAACAGAGCACAGCTTTGATACTAGTGATGATATTGATTAAAATAGACATGAGGCTAAAAAAACTTAGAAGTTTGGCTCTTCAAAATTTAAAGTAATGATGATTAGATGACATAAATATCATGAAGACTCATAATTAACCATATTTTTATAAGTAAGCATATTTTTCTATTTTGTGAATTTCATACAATATATTTTGATCATATTTGTATAATCCCTCTAATATCTTCACCCCCTTTCTAAAGACCCAATAAATTTCTGTCTCTACTATACACAAATACACACACAGACATACACACACACATATATATGCCAAATAGTGTTTTTAAAAAAGAGAGATTATGAAACTCATAGGTAAATGGAACATAATTTTAATTGTATTTTCAGATAAGAGATTTATCATGAGTGTTATTTCTGTTCATCTCTTTATTCTGCTAGTTCCTACTAATCTAAGTAATATCAAGAAACTTTTAACTGATACAAGAATCTTCCTTCTGTTAGCTAAAACTTGTCAGGAGACAAAATTTGTTTTATGGGCATGAAACCTTCAATTCAGATATAGTGAAGTCATTCATTTCTCTTCTGTTCTTTCTTTTTGTTCTACTTAAAATTTTGTTACTGGAAAGTAGGGCAGGAGAGATGGCAAAGCAGTTAAGAACACTGACTGTTCTTGCAGAAGACCCGGGTTCAAATCCGAGCACCCATATGGCAGCTAACAACTGTCTGTAATTCCAGTTCCAAAGGACCTGATAGCCTCTTCTGTCACTTATCTACACACAGGCAATGCACACATCCACATAAAATAAAAATTAAAAAAAAAACTTTGTTACTGAAAAGTAAGGAATTTCACTTTAATTTCAATTATACAATATATTCATATATTTGTACACATCACATAGAACATGTACAATTAGCATAGAAAAAAGTTCCAAATATTTACATATGCTCAGATTTCATGTTGTTAATATAATAAAATTCATATACCTAGGCTAAGTGCATGTGTGTGTGTGTGTGTATGTAGATATTTGCCACTTCAATAAGTACTCAAGTAATTCTCCTCTGGAAAATGATTTTCCTGTGGAAGATATCTAGAAATTGTTTGACAAAATATATTCTAAACAAAAGATGTTGAAATGACCTTTTCCATACTTCTAGTTATCTGCCAGTGTGGCTCACATGAGCATTTTATTCTGTAATGTACAAAAGTCCTCTCAGTTCTTATCCAAGTAATCTCATATTGATTTAAAGTAAACGTTAAGTTGTTATTGAGAAAGAATGGAAACCAAGAATATTGTATGAAATAGAAGCATATAACCTTCTTTGTTAAGCTTTATATTAAGTTGATGAAGGTTATGAAGAATTTACTTACTACCATAATAAAATATTTTGATTTTAAGATGAGTGCCTGAAAAATGTTCCCATACAGAAAGAACAAAACTCAGTGGAGAATAAATGCAAGTTATAAGTCTAGGGAGCAGTTTATTAAAAGGTTGCAGTAGATGGAGAGAGAGTCTTGAATGGATCTATCACAGGTAAAATAAAATGTCAATTTATGATTGTTTGTATCATCCACTGAGAAAACTGAGTGCAAGAAAAGGAAGGACAGCACAGCTACAGATGCATTTACAGGAATCCAGCTGCAGCGTTTCTGTTAATGCCATCCAAGCCTCCCTGCCTGTTACCTAAAGCCTATTACCTTTATATAAAAGTGAGGTAATATTCTATTTCCAAAAGGAAAGTCAGTTGCAGTTTTCTGTATTTATGTTATGAGGATCAAGTATATTTTACTACGAAAAGGACAATAAAGTAATCTTAGCATGCTGAATGGCCACGGTTATTTTGATACTATTCCAAATACGCAATTACATTTCCATATTTGATTAATGTACTTAATTTTATTTTGCATGCACACAACACATATTTTGAATATTTTTTTCAGTTGGCTAAAATAATAATGATATACTAAAGGTAGTTTTGGAAATTAGTTTAAATTGTCCTCAAATTTTGTTCCTTTTCTAGATATCTTTCTTTAACATTGAGTTAATGTTTACACTCATGTAATTGTTAAATATTTGACATTAGTATTATCAATTTCTGGTTATTACATTGTTGTACATTTTATGCTATAAATGAGTACAATTTGAAGAGATCTGTATTCCTCAGAACATTTCAACCTTCAGAAGATATTGGTACAGGTGGCAGGAAATGGATAAACACTCCATGAAATCCTGTTTCTTCTTTAATCTGTAAGGCAGTTCACCTTAGTCAGCAAGGCAGAAAAGCTAATCTCTTAGAGATCAGGATCGGTGCTGCTCTATAAATCAGCAGCAACAGCCCCAGTTCACCCAGGTCCATATCATGCCTTCCTCAGAAAATTGCGAAGTTGAATTCCCTGATGCATGACTTGGTACATTGTAAATACACTTTGATAAGCTTCATTCATTGTTTAATGGACCATGACCGGGTGGAAGGCAAGGAAGATAAGGATGAAAGCAAGTGGTGCGCTTTCCTCTGACATAAGCCTCTGAAGCTTGAGGAGAAACATCTCAGCTGTCTCTTTTCGGGTGCTCCTCTTACTCATTTAGACAGGCACTCTATAAAATTTGTTCTAATTAGTATTTTTTCCATTTTTATTAAAGTTTCCAATTTTATTTGTTATCTTCAATGTTTGCGACTACCATGTGCACATTCGTCTTCTTTTTATTTTTTTTTAATTGAAATTTTGTGTGTTTCATACACAACCTCTTAATTATCTTTATATTCCCTTGCCCATTGGCATCCTCCCATATCCCCAACCCCACTGAATTTCATGCATTTTGTCATTTATATTAAGGTCAATGGAGTCATGTTAATGTCCCCTGATATCCCCTTGGTGAAAGTTCATTCACTGCGGTCTAGTATCCCTATCTAGAGTCACTACCTTAAAGAAGACCAGCTCTTCCTCAACCAGTAGTAATCAGCTACCCAATAGTTATTCAACCATGATTGGGGCTTGCTATCCATTTCCACAGTTCTATGCTGGGTTTTTTTGTCTGCTTGAGTTTCCATGGGTCATGTGCATGCTGCCTCCATTACTGTAAGTTCCAGGAGCCTGCAAAACTGTTTCCGTATAGTCATGCTCCTCCTCCCCGACTCTACCATCATTTGTCTTCTTATAGCTCATTAAATTCATATACAATATTTATCCACTAAAGTCATAAACCCTTAAGCTTGCCCTTTCATCATCAACAGATGGGGGAAAACAAGCTTATTAGTGCAAAACCAGTTTAGAACTTGTTCTTTCCATTTACAACACCTAGAACTTTATTTGGTCTGTGAAGCTCCAGTTCTCTTATTAACGCTTCAGAAGGTGACTAGGAAAAATACTAAACAGAATGTGGAAATCATGCTCTAAGCTGTGATTGACTCGTTCTCATAACGTTACCCTTCATCTCATTTTATAGCTTCCATTCTTTCTGGGTTTTGTCAGTTTCTCAGCTCTATTTCCTGTACTGCTCCATGTACTTTTTTTGTTTGTTTGTGCTAGACCTTTTAATTCATGGTACTCAGTTCTCTTTGAGGTTGACTAAGAAAGAAATACTTGGTAGGACTTCAATTGCATGACCATACTACCCTAGTTTCTTGCTGATCTACTTCCCCCTTCTTTGTTGCAAAGAACATGCTCATTCTTTCCTACAAACTTCAGGTTAAACAGTCCATTTAAATGTCTGTTTTCTGTCACAAATTTTCTTTGGGTCATCTTTAAACTCACATGTAGAAAACACTGAAATTTATTTCCCTCTTAAAACTGCTGTTTCTTGTAGGATAGATCCTTTCTCTTTTCTAAGTAACTAACTATGAAGGTATTTATCATTCACCTGAATGCATATTTGTGTGTACTGAAAAAAATCCTATCTTTGTCGGTAAGGGATTTAAGTGTTGTTGTGACCAGATGTGTGTGTGTGTGTGTCCTTGCATGTTTGTGCGTTTATTTTAATATGTACAGTGTATAAAGTATATAATATGTATGTACACAGTATACTGTGGCATTTAACAAACCAATGTGAGGTGTGTTATAAGAGTAAACAGAATACTAAAATATATATTTTAAATTTAAGTCAATTCTAAGAGACCACAATGACATATTTCTATTATACTCAGACAATTGGACAATATCTAGGCCAAATAACATGTATTTGGTTCTTAGAGTACTGTGTTTATTGAGTTTTTCGTTCCTACTCATTTGTTTTAGTGAGAGAATGAGGATCAGGATGTTCTTTGCTATGGACTTTAATGCTTTTAGATGAGGAAATCCAAAGAACAACAAATAAGAGAAACAAATGACTGAGTGCACAACAGGAATCTGACACAGCCATGCTTTGG